GCTGTCAATCAGTTGACATCAACCATACATCAGATGAACATCGGTTGGACTATTGCTGAGAGCAATGGTTACTACAAACAAAAAAATCTCCCAAATGATCCAAAACGGTTGGTTTGAGCTTCTGCTCACATCTGTATACAGGCATCAAGTGACAGATAGCAGGGTTGCCACCACAGAAGATTACATGCAAGCTAAGACGGGGTCTTAGAACCAAGTGAACCTAACCTCTTTGCACACACACTGCTCATTAACACATATGAAAAACCCCATTAAAGTCAGTAACATTGTTCGGCATAGTAAAGCAACACAAGCATAACTGTGTCAGCCAAGCTTAAATTTTATATGCAAACATCCAATCAAATACAAATATCTTGCAATTTAGTTATTTTCTGACAAAAGAAATATAACTAAATCCTCATACAAAGTTTGTTTGATTTGGAGAGGGTAGGTTCTATAATCTGCCACCTCCTGTGATTGTCACCCAGACCCAGACCCACACCCACAACACAAAAACATGCAACACACAGATGAACAAGACATAACAGGCATGCACACACAGACACACACAGACACTATAGTCTGTTTGCACTGAAAAATGTACCGATGAATGTCAATTTAAACAAAAAAAAGTAAATCGAATAAGATGGAATTAAGATTGCGAATCCTCATAATTTTACCTTGCCAACTGACCATTTAAATCTCAGAATTTTGTTCAACTTGGGATAAAAGTTGTTTAACAAACGATCATAGTTTCAAATCGCTATTATTGGTTTGTATTACAAGGGTGTATGCACATTAAATGAAACACCAAGAACAAGTAGAGTTGGTCTAAGTTAACGCTCATCACGAACCGCACGTGCATTTGTTTCACTGTTCCAACTACTGCGCTCACCCCCTTGTAATACAAACCAATAATAGCAGTTTGAATGTATGATCGTTTGTTAAACAACTTTTGTCCTACAATAAATAAAATTCTGAAATTTAAATGGTCAGTTGGCAAGGCAAATTTATGAGGATTCGCAGTCTTAATTTCACTTTATTTGATTTACATTTTTGTTTAAAGTGAAATTCATCTGTGCGTTTTCACTGCAAACAGACTATACACACAACACCTATACATACAAAATTGCCTTTCACTCAGCACTCATACAGCAGAATTTATCCGTTAGAGAATATATCTCTGCTTTCTGATTAAAAGCATTTCACTATGATACACTGCGTAATCAAAGACGTTGAATGCCCCTTCCATGTGGGAAGGATTCAAATACAGTGCACAATAACTTTCTATATATTATATACTCAAGTACTAACTTCAATAATTCTTGTGTTTATGGAGGTATAAACATAATAACTGGTGTATATAGTGCCAATCAGTGTATTGGTTTAATGCAAATTGACACATCTGTTTTTATGTTTACGACCCCATGAATTCCCAAAACACATTAGAGACAACTGTAGACAGAAGACAACAATATGAAATATTGACATAATTGCAATAATTCATCAGATTTGTCTTCCATTCTAGTTGTTTATGTTTTGTTTAAATGTTATTATGAAACATTAAAATAATAACTGGATGTAGCATTAAAAGGATATGATTTGCTAATCTATTTTCCACAATGACATTAAAAGGCATGTGCTAAGTCCACCCAGTCTCACAGTTTTCAAGATGCCAGTGCCAACTCAGAATGTTCTAGTTGCCAAATTATGATGATTAGTTGTCCCTATACATTGATAGGTCACTTTTAATAACATAAACAGAAGTAAACACATGATCCAATGATAAAAAAACCCACATTTTCCTTCAAACATTATTCCTGACTCAATCCTCAGATTTTAAAAGATAAGATAAACTTTATTATTTACAAGTTTCATTCCATTAGGTTAACAGAATTTGTATTTGCAGCAAAACAGTTACTCTTTGAAATGCTCTTCCTGGTGAAAGGGAAGTAACTCTGAGTTGAACTCAGAACTTGTTTGATGTAAGTGGGAGAAAGATGTTTGTTGCAAATATTGTCAATTATTGACCGAGTTCAAGACATGTTTGTCTTTGGAATCAGTCTGATTAGTTGAACAAACCATTTGTTTGGGTAAAGAATTGGGTTTTTCAATTATCTAATGGGACAGCATTGATTGTTTTCTGTTACACTTGTGACGTTTAATATTTTCTAAACAACAAAAATATTTAGTTCTATATTAAAAAATACAGCAGATAGATTAGCATTCTTAGAGTTTTAAAACATCAGTTTCTATTTCTGAATTATTTTTATGATAGACAATTTTCTATTTTTAAAAATTAGTTTGGTTCAGCTGGAGAATTTGTAACAAAAAATAATGAGAAAAGTTAAGTATTTCTTGAAAATACTCCTTTTTATTTTAACATTTAATTGATAAAATGTGCACAGGTTATACTTTGAAACGAATGTTCAATGAATTTGATTAGCCTACAAAGTTGTTGGTCTACCCAAGACATTTTCTCTAACACATTCAAGCCTTTCTGCTCCAACAAGGTGATCCATTAACAAAGCACTTTAAAAACAAGGACTTGTTATTTGTCCAGTTTATAAACAGCAAATATTCTGGCAAGACTGAACTGTTTAATCACATGCTGTACGAACTTGTATTCGACTCATGTTTACTCAGACCCACTCTGACATGATCAACACTGTCTCCAGCCCCTCGAGGCCCCGTCCCTCGTCTGGGGAATGGGGGATATTTATAACCAACAGTTAGGAGGGCCCTGACGTGTTATATGCTAATGTCCAACCAACACAATACAAAGCTCTGGGCTCTGTCATGGAATCTGGAAGTGCTGGTTATTTGGGCATGGATTGCTGAAGAAAACTTGTAAGTTTAAGCACACATTTTCTTTAATTATTGGAGAAATTCGCAACATTTAAAAGGAAGTTTGTCCTTTTGTGGGTTGAGGTTTCAATGTGTGAAATGTGGAATCCGATGCCCTGAATATCCTATTTACCTTTTGCAAGTAAACTGTCATCAGAAAAGGTATATTTACATGTTTAACATCTTCATCTGTGTATCTAAATATATTTTATTAAAAAGGAACTGATTAAGGTCTGAATCCTTAGGGTGTTACATCACTTTTTAAGTCCCTAAAGCAGTATATTTTCATCATTTGGGCCATGTGTAGAGTGTAATTATATCCTGATAATGTGGACTGGCCTAACACACAACTTTCATGCCAAAGCTATGAGTAGCCAAAACTTACACACACAAGCCTTGCCCATTGGTATGAAATAAAGTGCTTTTGTTGAAATGTTCACTTAATACACATACACGCTGTAAGTTGGAAATTGATATTTTGATCCAAGACAAATAGAAGTCCTTATTAGGAAAATAAATTAGTTTTATGGGAATTATAGCCTGTTCACCTGTCCTGTATCTGTTTCAGAAATTTATTGAGATTTTAATTTATTGATTATAATTTTCTTAGATAATCCAATCATCCATACCTGCCAGCTGTATATGTAGTTTTAACTTGAGCTCAGGAAGCGCTTTAAGCATATCCCTGCGACGTGGAAAGGCGCTATATGAATGGCCTATTATTATTATAGATAAGGGGAAAAAGATAAATAAATATGTTAAATATCAAGAAGATTATCATTGTACATAGATCTCACATTCATGCTTTTCCACATTCTAAATGTATTTCAAAGACTGTCAAATAATTGTAAAAGTTGTTCAGTAGAGTAGTCAGTTATGTTATTCAACATCCTGACACCCACGCTTGGTTTCTAACACTGGAATCTCGACAACGCTATGACCTACATCTGAATCCTCATGATAAGACTCGGAAGGAACACACAATCCCAGAAAAAACATATCACATACATTGCCACAATCCACTGCGGAATATCATCCCTTAGTTGTGCCAGTATCTGCTCATCATGAGTTGAATCCCACATTGATTATTATCCTTGGTTTGTACATATAGGTTCCACATTGCCCACACACAAACTGACACTGTTTTACACTGACAATACTGTTCACTGACAGTACTCTTTACTGACTGTACTGTTCACTGACAGTACTCTTCACTGACTGTACTGTTCACTGTCAAAACTGTTCAGATACCAATGGTAATTCAGTAATTTGAAGACAGTTCTTTTGTCTGTGTGGTGTAGTGGTTAGAGCGTCTGCCCGGAGAGCGGAAGGTCGCGGGTTCAATCCCCGACCGCATCATACCAAAAAGACCGTTAAAATATGGTACTTGTTGGTCCCTGCCTGGCGTTCGGCATTAATGGGTACAACAAGGACTGGTTGGCTCGGAGTCAGTATAATGTGTCTGAGTGGGGTATTCATGCTTCACTGTGGCATGGTATCTCAGTGAGCTAGCACTATAAAACCAGCTTAAGTCTGGGCTAGTACAAGCAGCCGCACATACACATACACATGCATACACATCGTCATATGAGCGAAATATATTCTCAAGCTTGACGTAAAACCCAATTTCACCTCACCTCACTTTTGTCTGTTCATTACTGAATCAAGTCACATACGACCTTGTGCTCCATGCTGTGGTGTAACACAAATAATGTCCAAACTGCATTATGTCACACACTCACTAAGTATTTGCACTCTCATGTCGGTGATATGGAACTGGTAAGTATTGTTGGGTTTGATGCTGCTGTCAACAGTAAACATGGTGTATCAACTTCATGGTGCAGCCAGAAGTCTATATCAGTGAGTACTGATCAAGGGTCATAACATTGGCAACCTTCTAGAGACTTCTGGGAGCACAGGTGGCCCAGTAGTGCCGGTTACTGTACAGAGTTGTCTCCCTTAGCAGTGCCAGGAAAAGCGTTAATTCTCGACTCTACATGTCCTATCATCTGTCCTTTAAGCTCATACATGAAACTGCACACCATCATACAACTTCAATTCTGTTCAAAGAAATATGAACAGAAATATAAAATGATATTCTGTACATTCTTATGTTTCGGACTCGGCAATCATGCATTAAACACTCTTATTTGCAGCTCCACCAGAGGCACCAGTGTCATTACGGGCGGAGAACATTGACAAGGATTGTCTCACCCTGGTGTGGGGCCCACCAGAGGGCGATGACAGTATCACAGGCTACATCGTTGAGAAGAGAGCACAAGACTCTGAAACCTGGGAACGTGTGGCACATGTGCCAGGCAAAACTACAGCTCGTGATATCATTGGTCTGCCAGAGAACCAGTCATTCTTCTTCAGGGTAATTGCAGAAAATCCAGCAGGAGTTAGCTCCCCTGCTGAACTCAGACTTCCTGTTGAGCTGAAGGCAAAGAAAGGTATGAGCACTCACACATTTTAAAATGTTAGATTTCATTTAGTAATATTTTGGTAGAATATTTTATTCCAACAGACATTCTAGAAAAAATGAGAAGATATTTTATATAATGTTTGCAAGTTGTTTATGTGCATATGTCTCCAGACTCGATTATGTACAGACCGCCGCCATATAGCTGGAATATTGCTGAGTGCAGCGTAAAACTAAACTCACTCACTCTCTCTGTGCATACATCAGCACTTGTAGATACATAGGCTTTCTTCTGGCTTGAACATTGTGTGAGAGTTAAATGTTTCATAGCATGCTTTAAATGTTGATTTTGTAGTTTCACAGTAGTTGTTCACAGTAGTTGTACACAGTAGTTGAATGCACAGGTTCTGTCCTAGGTATCCGTTTTCATTTGCCTCTGATATCTTTATTACGTCCTTATTTGTGGCATGACAAGTATATTTACTACGTGTATTCCGAGTGTATTTAACTATATGCATGAACCTTAATCTATATGCCTTTAATTCATTTCAGATTTATTTTCTTTCATAAAGGTTTGCTAATAATTAACACCTAATGTCAAATGTTCAAAGAAATCTATTGAATAAAGCATGATACAAACCTTTGTTGTTGTTTTTTGCTCTTCTTTTTTTGTGATTGAATGGATGATAACGTGTGAGTTGTTTGAGTGTGAATGCATGACCTTGACCCTACAAATGTAACCTTCCATGATTCAACCTTGACCTTTCCTTTGCTGTCAACCTATGAACCTTATTATCCTTGACTTTTTACTTTTGCTTTGCTCGTTCTCTGTGCTTCGTACTCCTGTCTGTTTAATATGTGTTGTCAAGTATGGAAATTGTACCTCAGTTGGATCTTTTCACCAATATGTTAATATGAATTTTAATGGGGAAATATATTCAAGCAAATATTTGGACATGACTGCCAAAATCATATTTCAGATTTGGGGGGACATCCAGAAGTTATCTTAAAATATACTTTATGGTGTGTGAGATTCCAAACTGAGAAACCGTTGCACCTTTTGTACTGAAAATGTTTTGTGATTTTATTTAGAGGTAGATTTGCTTTGCTGTATGCTTTATGTTGAGTAGTTAAATTAGATTTGCTTTTTAAAATACGCACTTTATAATAATTATTCCTTCCATTTCAGCCATTACTGCATGATCTGATTTACATTAACATATTGTGTACTTGAATTAATTCCATATCATGTATTCTCTCTAATACAGGAACTGAGTCTCAAATGTGATAAACATGGAACTAATCTATGTGCCATACTTACAGAACCACCAAGTAGAATCCCAGACTCTCCTGAAGTACTGGAGGTTGGCCCCACCCATGTTGAGTTGACATGGCAACCACCAGAGTCCGATGGAGGCTCGCCTGTAACTGGCTACTTCATTGAGAGGTCCGATGTGACTGGCCGATCCTGGCTGCCAATCAACAAGGAGCCGATTCCTGACACAAGGCATCGTGTTGATGGACTCCATCCTGGGTGCACCTACGAATTCCGCATCATTGCCCAGAATGCAGTTGGACTCAGTACACCCTCTCCGCCATCTGCTGCAGTTGTCTGCAGAGAAACAATTGGTAAATAGTGGACAGAAGGAATACATGAGATTTTTGAGGATCAGAATATATGAAAAATGCTAAAAAGATTTTTAGAATGATATCAAGAAGATTGTAATTTGAAGGTAGAAATTAAGTTGTTTTGTGAAAAGATGTGCTACATGAGTATCTTTTCTTGTTTTGCCCATAATATATCTTGAGTGGGTGGCAAGACGTGCTTACCCATTTTCAGGGATAACCTGTGTCATCACTGACTTTTATTGTCCACTCTTAAATTTTACCCGTATTTTGCCTCTCACACCTTAAGGAATCTGAGACTGGTTAATTTGTAACTTTTGTGTTTTATATTGAACTGATCTATGAATAAAACACTTCCATTGGTGTAGCTGCCTGTCATGCAGACATAACCAACAGAGCCTAAAGCAAGATAATTATTTCATGCACATATCTTCATTGCTGAAACAAATCTTTACACACTAGACTCTGCAATTTCAGTGACGGAAGCACCAAAGTTCGTGAAGGAGTTTGGTGACCTTGACATCCCAGTCGGTGAAGAAGCTCGCTTCGTGTGTCAAGTGACTGGAATACCAAACCCAGAGGTCACATGGTAAGAGGCATGACATCATCACATACAAGTTTATGTTAATGTTCTTCTGTGTTGTGATTATGAAGAAATTATTTTGTCCCAATTTGATGTGTGAAGAAAAGGTATGGCAAGTGGGTATTTGTCTGAGAGGTCCTAAACTTGCATTTGTTTTGTCATTGCTCCATGCTGTAAGGGAACTATTTGTTGTGTTTCCAGGTACAAGGACTACTGTGAAGTGTTCGGGACCCGCAAGTACTCAGTGGAGGCTGATGACATCACCTTCACCTTGGTTGTCCATGATGTGGAGCTGAAAGACAGTGGCGACATCGAGTGCCAGGCAAAGAACAGATACGGAATTATTTCCATCAGAGCCAAGCTTAATGTGCTGGGTAAGTGAATATTATCAGAGCCAAACATTATGTGCGGTGTAGATTGAGGTTATCAGAGCAAAGCTTAATGTGTTTGGTAAATTGAGATTATCCTGGCTAATATTCATTGTACTTGGTGTGTTCTCATCATCAGGGCCAACATTGCTGTACTGGTTATCTTCAGAACATATGGGCAAACATTATTGTGTTGAGATTGTTCAGGCCAAGTAAAAGTTTCTATCTCAATTTGTATGGAGTATACTCTTAACAGATAATTACACAATGTCCAAGTTTAAAGCTAAGCCAAAATTCCATCAAAACCTCGACCAGAAGGCTGCAGCTGGCCACAGACCACATTTCCACTTCTAGCTAGTGCCAGTGTTACATTAAACTCTCCAGTCTTTGACCTAATAATGTTAAATCATTGGATGGATATTAACATCCCATCCTTAACATCCCATCCCTACAAGGATAATCAGATGGACTTTATAGAATATCCTACTTGTGTTGTTCAGCGCGCCAGCCCGTATCGAACTTCCTCCGCGCTATGCCGATGGCCTCTGTATATCCAGCGGAGACTCCATCAAGCTCCGTGTGCCCATATTTGGACTCCCTCTTCCAACTGCCACCTGGAAAAAGAATGGGAAGGAACTCCATGAGGGACCTCACATTGACATCACGACCACACCCAAACACTCGACCTTGATCGTTCAGGATGCTGGCATGCGTGATGCAGGAGAATACACTCTTGAAGTCCAGAACAAGCTGGGCTCTGACAGCGCCACAGTTCCAATCTCCGTTGTTGGTCAGTACCAGATAGACTGAATATCTGAATATATGCTTCTCAAAAGATGTTTAAGAACAGTCATAGGTTTACTGAAGTCATATGAATTTTTGTGTGTTATTTAACTACTTTTTTAATGGCAAAAACTGCCAAAGAAATACAGATGCACAGATAAGCATGTGGTGCTCTTATGTTTTGTATGTATTAGAGAAGACATATTACTGTATCATTGTGTTGTGGATACAAAACACTTTAGTGAAATTGCAGAAAGTATGAATCGTTGATATTTCATTATTCCCTTTTTCCATCAGTACTTGAATATAATATTAGCCCCTGCTATTGCTCCGTTGGTCGAGGGAACCAGTAATTGTGGGTTCAGATGTGATATTTACTCTGATTATATCCGTAATTCTTGGTTTATCAGCCCCATTTCCTCACTCTTGGAATATTTATCAAGGCCTCACTTAACCAAACTCACTCACTTGTTCCCAATATCTTCAGATCGACCTGACCGCCCTGGTAAACCTGAGATCACAAGTATCGATAAGCACTCGGTGAGCATGACATGGGATGCCCCCAAGGATGATGGTGGCTCCCCCATCACAGGCTACATCATTGAGAAGTGTGACATGCAGACCGCTATCTGGCGCCATGCTGATACATCCAACACTCGGTCCTGCACCGTCACCTGTCTGGAAGACCGTGGACAGTTCAAGTTCCGCATCCTGGCCGAGAACATATACGGCATCAGCAGTCCGGGACCTGAGTCCGAGCTGGTGGTCACCAGAGAGCCGATCCCAGCCATTGACTATGATAATCTATGTAAGGAACAAGACTTTGTCTAGCTTACTGACTCCCTTTTTGCAAGGTTATGTTAGAGAAAACACATTTTCGTTTGTGGATTGTATGTTTTTTTAATAGTTTTGTATTGATCCAACACAGTGTTGAACTGTTTCCTGATGAAGTTTTGGAAAAGAAATCCTAATGGGTTGCAATATGTTAAAATGGTATTGGACTCTTAAAGTTATTATCCCACCTGATTTCTGTCTTGTTGAAGCAGTTCATTTGAAGAAAGTTACCTTTGCTAGGCATCAAACAGGTTGATCTTAGCAGAGCCTTTGGACTGTTCTCAACTGAGAGATGTATTGATGTATCAATGTACATGTATTCCTTCTGCTGCAGATGATGCTGACTTCACCGGAACCCCAGTTGATGTGAGCAGAATCCGGGGAGACATCCTCAGCAAGTACATCATCTGTGAGGAACTCGGAAGGTCAGTCACAGATTACATCCACCAATATTTACACAGCAGTTTTAATATGGTTAACAGACTAATTAAGATTCATGGACTCAATGCCTAATGATTGCAAATTTCAGTATTTGTATTAAACTCATCTCACAATCTGTATCATTACAGAGGTGCATTCGGTGTTGTCCATCGTGCCATTGAGCGAGCCACTGGCAAGAACTGGGCCGCCAAGTTCATCCGCTGTCGTCCCCATGAGAAGGAGACAGTACGGCATGAGATCGACATCATGAACCGCCTCCATCACAAGAAGCTGCTGCAACTCCACGAGGCCTTCGACCAGCCTGGCGAGATGGTCATGATCCTGGAACTGTGAGTCCTTGATCTTCATTCTGTTATACACTGCTAATTATTGTTTGGGGTTAGTAACATGTTTAGGCCTATATTAGTCTGTCTCACAGTCCCTGAAACACATTATTTTCCCTACTGCTAAGCCATCTCTGCAGTGCTAAAGCTCTAAATAAAGCAAGTCTAGATTTCTTCAGGTTCAGGGTCTGTTAACATCTGCAAGAAAGCAAACTCACTAAAACGCAATCAGAATTAAAGGCTGTATGGTACTTGTTGGTCCCTGCCTGGGTTCGAATTACATGGGTACAACAAAGAAGCCCATTTCTGGTGTCCGAGTCAGTATAATGTTGCTGGAATATTGCTAAAAGGGTATAAAACCAAACTCACTGTCAGTCATCAGTATCTCAAGTCAGCTAGCAAAGTTAAAAGGATTGTGAAGTCTTGACTAGTACAAGCATCTTGTTTTACAATTACCAATATCAAAATGTATATCTTTGGCATAAATAGACTCTTAAACATATTCTCAAGTAAGTATGGTATAAACCCAATTTCAGTCTATCAGCAGTTACACTAAAGACATCTAAAGTAGAAGTTCATGATAATAATCATGCTAGATTTCTTCAGGTTCAGGGTCTGTTAACATCTGCAAGAAAAAACTAACTCACTTTGGGGGTCGGGTTACAAAGTAAACATATCCAATTCCATGGCTGGCCGGACCAACATCCTCACCATTGACTTATCATTCCATCGGATGTGTTTGCAGTCTGAGTGGTGGCGAGCTCTTTGACCGCCTGGTCCAGCAGCAGTATGACTTGACAGAGGAAGACTGCATCACCTACATGCGACAGATCTGCCAGGGTGTGCAGCACATGCACGGCAACAACATCATCCACCTCGACCTCAAGGTCAGACCCGCACTTGCAAAAATCTTGTATAAGATGTCAACCCTAATTCTACCATGACTTCAGTAAATACTGGATTGTGATTGGTTAATTAAAGTCATTCAGAGGTATATAATCACGTTATGAATATTTCTTAAAAGTCTTAATAACACGGTTATGGTAGAATGGAGATAAACATACTGTGTTTGAAAATCAGAGGTATATAACGAAATTACAATAGCTCTGATTTTTTTATTTAAAACCTCATGCTTCATGGTTCGTTCCTCACATGGGTACAATATGTGAAGTTCATTTCTGGTGTCTCCAGCTATGATATTGCTTTAATATTGCTAAAAGCGGCTTAAAACTAAACTCACTCACTTTAAGAGCCAGTAATGACATCAGTGTGTGTTCTGTCAACAGCCCGAGAACGTGATGTGTGTGACCAAGGAGAGCAAGGACATAAAACTCATTGACTTTGGCTTGGCTCAGCGCCTTGAGGAGGGCAAGTCTGTCAAGGTTCTGTTTGGAACAGCCGAGTTCTGTGCACCTGAGATCATCAGCTTTGAACCTGTGTCATTCGCAACAGACATGTGGTCACTTGGAGTGGTCTCATATGTCCTGTAAGTATTGACAAAACTGCCTGGAATATATGAGGAATTATATAGGAATGTATTCACGGCATGATGATTTTAGTGATCTTTGAATCATTGTAGCAGGTTTATTGTTAGGAGTACAATGTACATACCACGTCGCATTATGGCTGAAATACAGTCAGCTCAACTCTCAATTCAAACTCACTCATTTAATATGTGTTTTTCTCTATTTTGAAAATGTAAATACTTTTAAATGTAATTAATATTGAAGATAAATATATTTACACTGATATAGAAACTTATAGCAAATGAGCACAGATGGAAAAAGTTCTAACTCTTGCATATGTGAAACAAAATCTGGCCTTTGTATATGTACAAACAAAAGGTAACATCCAACCGAAATATCCATCTGTATTGTGTCTGTCATGGATGTGGGAGTGTATGCTGCTTGTATTTGTTCCAGACTGAGTGGCTACTCGCCATTTGCTGGGGAGAATGACCAGGAGACCTTTGTGTACATCAACCGGGCAGAGTTCGACTATGATGACGAGGCCTGGGCACCTGTATCAGAGGAGGCTCGGGACTTCATCAACAAACTCCTTTTGAAGGACAAGAAGTGAGTTGCCAGAGTTGTCTCCCCTTGACTTTAGTGCCTCATATTTATGACTTGTGTTTTGTCCAAAAAAATCAATTTGACGATGAATAAGATAATCACCAGGGTAGTCATTTAATTGATGGGTAACAACAGTGTTAAATTTAATTACATTTTATTTTAAATCCTGAAGAAATGACAACCATAAACCATTCAAACAGGAGGAATCTGTATGTCAGTTCGTTTTTTTGTTTCTGTAAATATTCACTATCTGCTGTGCAACTTTCAGACAGAGGATGACTATCGACGAGGCTCTGGCTCATCCTTGGCTGAATGTAAGTACCGCTTCTACCTGCCTTGTGTGTCTGTCATCCTGTTATCTGTGGTGGGACATACACTGCTTTAAGTGTGGCAGAGGCATGGCTACCATCTCCAGTTTGGGAATGTGACATGTGTAGTACTGTACATCACCATGGAGCCCTGTGTTCCCACTAACTGCTGGGGGCTTGAAGGGTAACTAGACAAGGGCAAATCAGCGTCGTAGCAACTTTGATTTAATCATTCAAAATTGTTAGTCCGCAAACTCAAATTTTGCAATGTATATCAAACAAGCAGTAGATCATTAACCTAGTTCCCCCCCCAGTTAATAGTGCAAACAATGTATAAGTCTTGACATAGACCAAAATTGGACGCCAGTTTTTGGAACATTGTCCCCACTTTAACAGTACAATTAAGCATAAGCCAACACCTACTGTAGACTACTTATCAACTTCTGATCTATAACTGCAATTTCTTGACAAAGACCGAAATGGATGCCAGTGTTTGGAGCATTGTTTCCCCTTAAGAGTACAATTAAGCAATAAGTTAATACCTACTGTAGACCATTGATCAACTTTTGATTCTATCTCTAAGCAATTTAATTAAAAAGTCCCATATTAAGACCTGAATATTTATGTGACAGTCCCTATTGTCTTATACATTACACACTGTAAAAGCTGTCTAGAACAGGTACAAAACTGCCTCTCAAATATTGCAAAGTACACTCTATGTCTGTAGACATAATTAACTTCTTGTTCTTAATAAGTGAAAAAAGTAGGATACAGGAGTAAGATGCTGATGGTTTTGTCCCTTTTGGTAAATAACATATTATGTATCTGAATATCAGATAAAGCAGTGGTGTATTTTACGCTTGTAATGAGCTATTTTGTCTGGGTATATGTTACTGTTATGTGTCAAACTGTAGCTGCATATACCTTTCCTTAACCAAGGAGCATGATGATTACCTGTGATATCAACCATTCCATCATACTCTTCATCTGCCATTCCATATCATCATCCTCATCAACCATTCCATGTCATATTCTTCAATAATTACAGGCCATGTGGTAGCCTAGTGTTTGAAGTGTTCACAGACCTTGGTTTGGTGCCATAATTGGTGTTTGTGTTCCTTCTGTGATGTGGCTGAAATATTGCCCAATGCAGTTGAAAAATCACCTCTCTCACCATTCATAATAATCATATTATTCATCAGCAATGGAATTTCATGTTCTTCATCACACGGCATCGATGGTTCCTCTGTTGTGCATTGTGAGCATAGTCTTCTTCATCCACAGACATATCCATTGTTATACCATGGTGTATATATCATGATATCAGACATATCCATGTATCATTGTATCATAATATTCATTGTCAGTCATTAACTGTGGAGCTTTGTTGTCAGTTAGTGCATCTTGTCAATTATACAATGCCCTGGAGTTTGTTTAAAAGAAAATTGTGTAATAATTTTTCTGATTCGGTTTATGATTGTTCATAAAACATTCTGCTCATGCCTAATTCTTTCTCAAATTGTCGTTAAAAATGAAAAGTTTGATGCGTAAATTACGAAAAATTTAATTAAATTGTGAAGAAAGAAAGCAAGTGTTAATGACTTCTGAAAGGTCTGTTTTGGAGTGGACAACAAAATAATCCTCAAACCAAATAATTATTTCAGAAATTATGAAAATTGTCAAAATATATTAAATAAAATATCTTTTAACAAAAATATTCATTCTATACTTGTAAAGTTTGGACTACTTTTGACATCTATGAATCATCTCCAATCAAAATAAAGAGAGATTAAGAAATGTAAAAGATTGTATCATGTCTATGATCTTTTACCTGAAATTTACATTTACATTGACCAAATTTGCTATTTCCTGTTTCTTCATCTGAAGCAATACGATAAAATTACTCACTACAATATGTATACAATAGAGCAATATTTCTTGAAAATTGTACTTGAGAACAAGACGCTGTACAGGAGAAATCTGAAAAATATTTACCAACTTTGGATGTCCACATATTTCTCTAAGATAGTATACATGACTATCATACCCAGCTTGTAGCATGGCACCAAGGCTCCACACCTCATATATAGATGTTAACAGGCTTGTACATTCATGCTCATTGCATCAAAGGGACCAAGCCGATGCATGTTGTGCAATAATCGTCCTGTCAGTATCTAAATCCTATGGATGCTGTGACCCTTGTCTACAAGTGGTATTTTGCTGACCTGACTATCAGACTGTGGCTTTAACCAGTGAAGACTCTTGTTCCCCTTGGTGCAATGTTGAACGTCACGCAAAATGTTGAATGCTCACGTATATGCTGCATTTTTGCTCCCGCAGCCCCGACCCAAGACTGACCTTGACCTTGATGTCACAGATGTAAGTAACGCTTCTGCACTTGTTGTCAGATGTGAAATCGTATCCTTTAGACTTGAATCGTGAATGTTCTTGTATTACCCCTTGTGTGGTATGAGTTTTAAAAGTGTTTAGTTCTATAGAGATGTTTTAGATCGGGATTAATAATGCTGATAATTAGTTTTAAACATTTTTGCAAGTGTATAATCCTAAAGAATGACATATGGATGATGGATCCTAATGAATCTTTATCTCATATATTCAATTTGTAGTCCTTGGAAGAAAAAGAAATATCATGACACTATTTATATATTTAAACATTATTTCTTTCAGAAATATCTCTTTGTAATATATGTAGTCTTTTTGTGATGTATATACTTTCTGAGGGTCATTCTGGTTCATCATACACAAATGTAATACATCAGTTTCTCTTCTTTGTATATATTTCCTATGATTGCCATACGATGCCAATCAAGAAAGTGTCTCTTCAAATCCAGGTTTGTAGCTGTCCAAGGACTGAACAACTATATATATTTGCCAAAATTATTGTGAGTGTATAATGTGTAAGCCTGTGTTGATGTATGGCCTCTAACGGCATCCTGTTGTGTGTTCCAGGGGTCTGCAGAGAAGAAGTTGAAGGGGGTGAAGCTGTGCCGCCAAGGCCACAAAGACTATCGGGACAGGACCAGACACAAGGTAACTCACATGAACACTAACAGGAAGCACTAACACTTCCTAAACTGAACAAAATGCAGGGATTTATGTAGGATTCTGAACTGAGAGCCCTTGACAGGCAAACTGGGAAAAAATTGTACTTTAATACAAAATATAGATTTGTTTAAGAGTTCCTATTTTCCTAAGTACATTTACATGTACATTTACATTTGAAGTTTAACATAACATTCTATGCAGTAATGATAAACCAAGCATGAAAGCCTCTTCCTCTTTTAGTCTGCAGAAAGCTGTACAATTGTTGATGTGATGGTTAGACATTGTCACCTTCTCTGTGTTAGTCCTTTAATCAGTTACATAACAGTCACTTTTCAAGCTAATGCTACAACTACATAACTTGAAAAATGTTTAATTCCAATTTGGGATTAAATAACTGACATTTGCTGCAGACTTAGTGCCTATTATCAGCTTTTGAAACATTGAGATGATTTACAGATTTGTCAATTTTTTAAATGGTGTTGATATTACGTTTAAATTTTTATATATTGGAACATTCAGTATATTGCTTCTTCATCTATTTTTTGTGAATGAAGAATTTTATGATCAACTATGACTATATTATCTCTCTTTTCATGTGAAAACCTAAAACCTAAAGAACAGAAGTAATCATTGAAAATAAAACTTGTCTTTGTTTGTAAAATGTCATCATGCTTTTAGACAAGTATTGATTTTGATGAGTTTTGTATTTGGATATTCCAGGAGGACGAGCTGGACATTCTCCCCATCGGCCGCCTGTCTCGGGACAGTGCTGTCTTCAGGAAGGAGGGCGAGCTCGGAATATTGGCCCGCAACCTTGTCATGGGTGTGTACTTTACTTCATAACAGTTAAGAATAGGGATAGTATTATGAAATAAGTTCCAGCTATTGAACTTGAGAACTGTAAACACTCTATATGTAACATATGATGGGTTCATTACAAGATCAAGCAGTGTATAAAATACATAGGCCATTTTGTAAAGCAAACAGCTTCAAAGGTCATCAGGGAATGTGAGTGACAATTTGAATCATTGAAATAAGTTCTCCCCCAAATAACTGATCTCGTTGCTAATTACACTAGGAAAAAATGCTGCTGCTATCAGCCATTATAAAACTCCCTGAAAATGTTTATATTAGTATGACTTTTGTACATATTACCAGTGTGCCAAAAACACCCTTAAATTATCCTTTCTAATGATGTTATTTAAACTACAGACCGCCTCCGTGGTGTAGTGGTTAGAGCGTCCGCCCGGAGAGCGGAAGGTCGCGGGTTCGATCCCCGACCGCGTCATTCCAGAAGACGTTAAAATATGGTACTTGTTGGTCCCTGCCTGGTGCTCGGCATTAATGGGTACAATGGTCGGCTCGGAGTCAGTATAATGTGTCTGAGTGGGGTATTCATGCTTCACTGCGGCATGGTATCTCAGTGGGCTAGCACTATAAAACCAGCTTAAGTCTGGGCTGGTACAAGCAGCCGCACATACACATACACACGCATGCGCGTCGTCATATGAGCAAAATATTCTCAAGCACACGGCGTTAAACCAAATTTCACCTCACCTCACCTCACCTATTTAAACTACTGCTAATTCTAGAGATTTGGGGCTAAGTCAGAGTTCTAAGCCATAAACAAAGAAGGAGATCTGGACAACTTTGTATATAAGTAGTTGTGAATGCCCTAAGGTATACATATGGTAATGGGACCTGTAGTCTGTAGTATTTGTATGGTAGACCTGTGGTATGGATGCTAGTTGCCTGACCCCTTGTTCTCACCAATGGGTAAACATAGGTACATCTTTAACTGGTTATCTAAAGGTTACAGCAGGTAATGTCACATCTGGTTGTATTAAAGTGAATATCAGCCTGTAAGAAGATAGTACTGTCTTCAGTAAGAGGAGGATTGGTTTCAGGAGAGTAGTCTTTTGAAACCTGAGTGGAATATTGTTCAGTTTGAGAATTAGGTTTCAGAGGCATTATGTCATTTATTAGATGGCGATTTGTAGTAAATATTGAGAAGAAAAGACGAATATTTAAGTTTTGAGAAAGATGTTGATTCCTTACGTTACATCCACAGAACTGCCGGAACATGCTCCTGTTGTGTATGAAGAGCTGGATGATGTCACAGGTTACGAGGGGTCAAGGACACAGTTGGCATGCAAAATCATTGGAAAACCACCAGCAGAAATCATGTGGTAAGTTGGTGTGATCGTGTACTGTGTGTAATCTAGGACAGATCCAGATGCATGTTGTAGCAGTGTGTTCATTTTGATATTGAGATTTTTTAATTTTTTTTGCACAATGTTTTTGTCAAAATGAACATGCACCCTTGATAGAAATACTGTGTGATGGCCTAATTTGATAATTTGAACATTAGAAAGTCCCAGATGCAGGTGCATTCTGTTAAGAATGTTGGTATACCTACAGGTGCAATGTGATGAGACTGTCAGTACACCTACAGGTGCAATGTGATGAGACTGTCAGTACACCTACAGGTGCAATGTGATGAGACTGTCAGTATACCTACAGGTGCAATGTGATGAGACTGTCAGTACACCTACAGGTGCATCACTTGATGAGACTGTCAGTACACCTACAGGTGCAATGTGATGAGACTGTCAGTATACCTACAGGTGCAATGTGATGAGACTGTCAGTATACCTACAGGTGCAATGTGATGAGACTGTCAGTACACCTACAGGTGCAATGTGATGAGACTGTCAGTACACCTACAGGTGCAATGTGATGAGACTGTCAGTATACCTACAGGTGCAATGTGTGATGAGACTGTCAATGTACACCTACAGGTGCAATGTGATGAGACTGTCAGTATACCTACAGGTGCAATGTGATTAGACTGTCAGTACACCTACAGGTACAGTACACCTACAGGTGCAATGTGATGAGACTGTCAGTATACCTACAGGTGCAATGTGATGAGACTGTCAGTACACCTACAGGTGCAATGTGATGAGACTGTCAGTATACCCTACAGGTGCAATGATGACTGTCAGACTGCAGTACACCTACAGGGTGTGATGGCCAACACCTACAGAATGTGCAATGTGTGATGAGACTGTCAGTACACCTACAGGTGCAATGTGATGAGACTGTCCCAGTACACCTACAGGTGCAATGTGATGAGACTGTCAGTACACCTACAGGTGCATGTGGACAAGGCCACTTGGTGTGATGGCCAACAACATCAGAATATTCCAGGAACTTGCTCTTTTCATGCTGTGTATTTTGGCAGCATTGATTCCTGGGGTTCCACCTACTCCAGCTCTACTGCATGGGTTGTTAGGACATGTAATTGTGCATCACCAGACAGATGCACTTGGAATCTTGATGCAGAGATCTGACATTCTCATATATGATTACTAATGGCTTGAATAACAGGAAGTCATGCCATTCAGTGCTACTCAGTCCCACCTCATTTTATAGAGGTAGGAGTCAACAGTTGAAGGGTCACGAAGTTAACACACTTGTCTTTACGTCTTATTATTGACTTGTCAAGAAACACTGAAAACAGACAAACAATACTTAATAGACACATCTATCCCTTTCATGGAATAAACCTTACCGTACAATCCCTGCAGCTGGTGCTTGGGCTAAGACAGGTGAATAACATGAAGTCACAATATCGTCTTTGTTATGTGAGTTGTTTTAACAAAATGGAATGGGTAGATCAATTATTTTATAAATTTCAATGTCACTGACATTTATTTGTTTCATGTCAGTTGTTTGGTGTTGTACTGGAGTCCACTCAGTTCCAGTTGGACAGTACAGGTCTTTGTTAGTATCACATGAGGCTCAATCCCTGCCCTGGTGGGGTAGGTGAGTGGATAAGGTGGTCTGATCATTCCAAATAACCATGTTCTATTTTGCTCTGGGAAACATTGCTACTGGTGTTCTTGTCATGCATGATGGTGTTCTGGGGTAAATTTGGTGTGATTTTCTGGAAAAGAAGTGTGCTGGCGTTGCAGACTTGTTGGTGTTTTTGTGGGAAGTCATTTTTTTACTGAATGTTTGGTGGATGTGATGCACAACCTGTGAGTTTGTGTATGTATAAGAAGTATGTTGGTAGCTGTCATTACAAGCTCCATGTGTTTTAGTCAGCCTGTCAGCAATGTGATCTAAGCTGTTTGATCTGATGAGGGTGCTAAATACATTCATTGCCTTCATCAGCTGCATTAACAGATGGTATAGAAGCCATCAGATGTTGGTTAACGATGGGATGCTCCATCCTCAGAAAGCACACTGGTTGTGCAAGTGAGTGTCCTTTACATATCTATATGTAGTTTTCAAGGTGAGAACAGTTACTCACTTGGTTCCTTACAGAGTCATGGATTTTATCCAGCTAATGGCATCGGCTTTATTCATGGATTGTCTGTTTTAGTCAAGGTGGACACAGGAAATTATTATTTTGATGACAAAGACAACTTATTCAAACGGCATATTTATGACGTCTGCTATTCACCTACTGCAGACAGTAGTGATTATTTTTGACAGTATTTGTGGAAGGTTAGTTGGGTGAGCGCTGTCTGACAATGTCTAATTATGGTTCCTGGGCTTCTGTAGAAGAGGACTGCTACAATGTCAGGAGGTATGACCTGAATATGGGAGACGTTCACATGCCTGTACTACAACACCTTTCGAGTTTTACCGTTGGGAACTATGTTGCTAGCAATGAAGTTGAAGTACATACCCATAGATGTCAATTCAGATCCAACTACAGGTGCAATGTGATGAGACTGGCTCCGGTACTACCTACAGGTGCAATGTGATGAGACTGTCAATATACCTACAGGTGCAATGTGATGAGACTGTCATTATACCTACAGGTGCAAATTTGATGAGACTGTCGGTACATGCACAGGTGCAATGTGATGAGACTGTCAGTACACCTACAGGTGCAATGTGATGAGACTGTCAGTACACCTACAGGTGCAATGTGATGAGACTGTGTCGGTACACCTACAGGTGCAATGTGATGAGACTGTCAGTACACCTACAGGTGCAATGTGATGAGACTGTCGGTACACCTACAGGTGCAATGTGATGAGACTGTCAGTACACCTACAGGTGCAATGTGATGAGACTGTCAGTATACCTACAGGTGCAATGTGATGAGACTGTCGGTACACCTACAGGTGCAATGTGATGAGACTGTCGGTACACCTACAGGTGCAATGTGATGAGACTGTCAGTACACCTACAGGTGCAATGTGATGAGACTGTCAGTACACCTACAGGTGCAATGTGATGAGACTGTCGGTACACCCACAGGTGCACCACTTGGTGTGATGGCCAACAACATCAGAATGTAACAGCTTCTGGTGGTGTGAATGATGGTATACCTACAGGTGCAATAATGATGAGACTGTCAGTATACAGAAGCAGGGTGTGGAGTCATCCCACAGATGACATCCTTACCTTGTCAGCTTGCTCGGGTTAACCTCTGGGTGCGGACATGGGACCCCTGGAAACAGAAGTTTCCCGAATCCCAGCGTAGGACTCAGAAGTTTTCACGACGCTACACCTACAGGTACACCACTTGGTGCGATGGCCAACAACATCAGAATATCCCAGGAACTTGCTGTTTCTATGCTATGTATTTTGGCAGAATTGATTCCTGGTGTTCCACCTACCCGCTCTACTGCATAGGTTGTTATGACATATAATTGTGCATCACCAGACAGATGCACTTGGAATCTTGATGCAGAGATCTAACATTCTCATATATGATTACTCATGTCTTGAATAACAGGAAGTCATGCCATTCAGTGCTACTCAGTCCCACCTCATGTTATAGAAGTAGGAGTCAGCAGTTGAAGGGTCCGGGTTAACAGACTTGTCTTTACCGCCTTATTATTGACTTGTCAAGAAAACACTGAAAACAGACAAACAATACTTGATAGACACGTCTATCCCTTTCATGGAATAAACGTTACTGTACAATCCCTGCAGCTGGTGCTTGGGCTAAGACAGGTGAATAACATGAAGTCACAATATCGTCTTTGTTATGTGAGCTGTTTTAACAAAATGGAATGGGTAGGTTAATTATTTTATAAATTTCAATGTCACTGACATTTATTTGTTTCATGTCAGTTGTTTGGTGTTGTACTGGAGTCCACTCAGTTCCAGAAGTTGGATGGTACAGGTCTTTGTTAGTATCACATGAGGCTCAATCCCTGCCCTGCTGGGTAGGTGAGTGGATAAGGTGGTCTGATCATTCCAAATTACCATGTTCCATTTTGCTCTGGGAAAGATTGCTACTGGTGTACTTGTCATGCATGATGGTGCTCTGGGGTACATTTGGTGTGATCATCTGGAGAAGAAGTGTGCTGGCGTTGCAGACTTGTTGGTGTTTTTGTGGGAAGTCATTTTTTTCCTGAATGTTTGGTGGATGTGATGCACAACCTGTGAGTTTGTGTATGTATAAGAAGTATGTTGGTAGCTGTCATTACAAGCTCCATGTGTTTTAGTCAGCCTGTCAGCAATGTGATCTAAGCTGTTTGATCTGATGAGGGTGCTAAATACATTCATTGCCATCATCAGCTGCATTAACAGATGGTAATAGAAACCATCAGATGTTGGTTAACGATGGGATGTTCCATCCTCAGAAAGCACACTGGTAGTGCAAGTGAATGTCCTTTACATATCTATATGTAGTTTTCAAGGTGAGAACAGTTACTCACTTGGTTCCTTACAGAGTCATGGATTTTATCCAGCTAATGGTATTGGCTTTATTCATGGATGGAATTGCCTGTTTTAGTCAAGGCGGACACAGGAAATTAGTCTTTTGATGACAAAGACAACTTTTTCGAACGGCATATTTATGACGCCTGCTATTCACCTACTGCAGACAGTAGTGATAATTTTGACAAAGATTTGTAGAAGGTTAGTTGAGTGAGCTGTCTGACAATGTCTAATTATGGTTCCTGGGTTTCTGTAGAAGAGGACTGCTACAATGTCAGGAGGTATGACGTGAATATGGGAGATGTTCACATGCCTGTACACCTTACGAGTTTTACCATTGGGAACTATGTTGCTAGCAATGAAGTTGAAGTACATACACATAGATGTCAATTCAGATCCAACTACAGGTAACTGATTGGCCCTGCACCCCATTTTCAAACTTTCATCTTGATTATATGCAGGTATTTTTATTCTCTTTGATGTGAACCAAATC